TCATATTTTTAAACCAACTATTTTGAGCTCAGCACATATTTGGAGTTTTGAGAACATATTACGGTCTCGCTTTCAAAAACACAGCCACAGGGGCAAGAAAAGAGCAGGTTGGCTTTTCATAAAATGTCTTTAACGGTGGGCATGCATTCATTTGGGAAAGTTTATATAAAAGGCCCCCAGGAGGAAAAATGGCTCTTTTTGTACATCCAAATATGTGCATGAAAATACATAAGAATATTTATGCTGACTCTTTAAAAAAAGATGCAAAAATGGTACAGAATGACTTGTGTCTTTATGCAACAGCAACGAAGAGTGTGGAAAGCAATTTGGCTCCAAAACATCCCAAGATAAATAGCAGTAAACTAAGCATATCCTGAGTCCCCAAGACTATGCCTATTCCCTGTGGATAAGGACTCCAGAGTTCTTCCCGAAGTTGCTTATCTTACAGAAAAAATATTATTCAACCAAGCATTAATCATCCCAACTGGATTTCATTAAGTGAATGTGCTTCTTAAATTAAATGAAAATGGCCCCACCACATTTTTTGGAGCATGGCCACTGGCATGTCACTCAAAGGCAGAGTTTGACTTTTAGTGCAGTTAGTAGAGGGCAATGGCTTAACTGAGCATAAGGCAGCTCTCTTTTCTATGGATATTTTGGAATAGAGGTAGCCCAGGTTCACTGTACATCTCTTGCGATTCTCCAGACTTCAGGAGATCCATATCTCACCAACAGAGACTTTGTTATTGTGGTCATATTTTTTTTTCTCCAAGAATATGAGCTCTTTTTATTTATTTATTTATTTACTTACTTATTTTAAGCATAACTCAAATAGATATGGATATTGATCAGTTAGATAGATGCAGGGGTTGGGGATACAAATGGAATGGAAGAGGAGGATGTATCCCTAATATATATATATATTTTTAATCACCTTGCTGTTCTTTTCCTACTTTTTTTGTACGTCAATATTTCAGCAAGAAATGTATAAATAATAATCAAAAAGATAGATGGATTCAGTGATTAGGTGAATAAAATCTATTAGGCTTTGTCACTCATTACCTTGGAACAGTGGTGTCTGGGGGAATGTCAAAATCTGCAAGATGGCACATAGATCTTCTGCAAGATCTATGTTGATGCATCCACCATCCTGCAGATTTTGACTCCCCACCACACTCCAGGGGACATCTCTGTTCCAGGGTAATGAATGTCAGAACCTAACCGAGACTGCCAGAAGGCTGATTTACATGACCAGATTATCATGGGCAAATACGGGCCACTGACCATTTCTCAAGGGCAAGAACACATGATGTCATCTTCTATCCACACCAAACCCACTAGGAATACAACCTCTCCCATCTTTTTCTGCTAGACATCCGAAGCAGACTTTTCTGACTTGGGCCAGCTCAAGCACTGGCATCCTATTTGCCTGCTACACTTCATTTCTCTGTAAGCCAATGCCTCCTCTTCAGTTGGCTCTTGTGCACTGTGGCAAGAATGATGCCCCTTCCTCTCCAGTAACTGTTCCCCACCCTCCATGGCTTCCTTTCCTTTCCTTTCCTTTCCTTTCCTTTCCTTTCCTTTCCTTTCCTTTCCTTTCCTT